CCTGCTGGGCAGGGAACTCAGGAGTGAGGAGTGGACCCAGCTCCTTCAGGGAGTCCTGGGACTCAGGGTAGAGGTGGGCCCAGTGCCGCCAGGGGCCTAGGATTCAGGTGTGGGCTCCCCAGCTGGGTCAGCACTGGGTCCCCAGAAGGGAGCCAGAGCAGGTGCCTGAGGCCCCTACCTCCCCAGCGGAGCCCTGTCCGGCCACCAGGCGGGTGGCTGACAGGGCCCGTTGACCAGCAGCGGGGAGGGCCCGGCAGGATGGCCCGATGTAGAGGGTGTTTGGGGCCTTCGGGGTGTCGTCGTCAGCCCCGCTGGTGTAGGTGATAATGGGACCGTTGCCTGCAGGATTTCCAAAGCGAGTCCTGATAAAGCAGGCCCAGATCCTGTTTGGCCACGCTACTTCCTTGTGGTGGTGATTAAGGAGGCTGGACCGTGGGGGCAGGCGGGTCTGCGGCGGGAGGGCCCACCACCTATAAGGCTCCCAGGACTGGCCATTGGGGCCGCACGGGTGGCAACAGCAGGCCTGCCGGGCCAAGCCTTGACTCCCTCTCCACGCTGCACATGCTCCGGCCGTGGCTGCTGCTGTCCTGCTGCGGAGCCCTGCTCAGCACTGGTAGGTGAGGCCGAGGGTGCGGACACTCGGGTGCCCTCAGGAGAAACCACTGAGGCACCTGCACGCCTTGCCAGCTTGGCTGGCCGTGGACACTGATGGGCCGGAAGGCCCCACCTCAGCTCTTGACCAGCCCTGCTGCTGGAGGCGGAGTCCCCTCGCAGCCTCGGTGCTGGGCTCTACCAGTTGAGGTCAGGACCCCATAGGGCCTGGGCAGGGACGCCCTCCTGTGGGCTGACACAGCGGCCAGCAGGGGAGGGCTCGGCTGGAGTGGGAGTCCGGAGGTCCACGCAGGAACAGTGGGCAGATGTGCGGTGCCCAGGCCTGGCGCTCTCCCCCGTGGGGTTCTGAGTCCGAGAGGTCTCTGGAGTGTGGGGGACAGAGGCACAGTTCCCTGCTGCCGTGGGCCTCAGTTCCTAGTCTGAAGTGGGGATACTGCCTCCCGGGTGTGGCCGCTGTGGGGAAGGGGAGGGGAAGGTGCAGCCATTCTGGGCTCAGAACTGCCGCAGACAACCCTCCCACGCTCCCTGCCCAGCTCAGGCAAGATCCAGGAGGGACGGCATCCTGGATCCTCTGCCAACTCCTGCCTGCGGCTGCTGCATTGTACAGTCCTGCCCCAGGCCCCAGAAGAGAGCCAGCCCAAGAAGTCCTCTGTGGCCACAGCCTGAGGCCTGGGGGCCCCTCTCTGCTGACCAAGGCACAGCCCAAGAGCCTCTGTGTTCTGTGCCCCTCCTTCCTCTCCAAGCTGGCCCCTAGCCTTCCTCCACAGCCCAGAGCTCCTGGGGTGGGCGCTGTGGACAGAGCTTTGCCCTCGGAGCTCCTGCCAACCCCACGGACCTCGGGCTCAGAGCTGATGGGGACCCCCAGGAATTCACTAAGCCGCCCCACCTTCTCTCCCTTAGGCCCCTTCCCCACCGCTGGCACCCTTCAGGTGGGAGATGTAGGGTCTCTGAGCCCTCAGCAGTACCCCTCTGCTTGGACCCGGCCCCACCTGCACACCTAGCACAGCTTGGGACAAGTGCCAGAAAGTGGGGCTGAACTTGCAGCAGAGCGAGACCCCTAGTCCCTTGGGTCACCACCCTGGAGCCAGGGAGGAAGGTGTGATGAGGCCCAGGGAGCCCTGGAAGTCTGGGCTGTGGGCAGTGCAGCGAGAGGTGGAGGCCAAGTGGGGGTGTCCGGCTGTTACCCCCGGCAAGTACTCTCTGAGGCGCCGCCTCTTTCCCAGCACGGGAGGGGCCTCCGCCGGCAGAGTGTGGAGTGGGCAGCTGTGCTGCCGGGCCTGGGCAGCGGTGGGCACGGGAGGCAGGGGTAGGTGGCCGCAAGCATGCAGAAGGAACAGCGCGCACCTGCCGCCTCGGGCTCGTCCAGGGGCTGGGGCCGGGGTGGCAGACCAGCCCACCCAGAGGCCATGGGCCTGGCCGGGGATGAGCCAAGGGAAGCACAGCCAGTCTGGGCAGGAGCATGGGAGCCTCCTGCTGGGCTTCAGACAGAGCTGGAGGCAGCCGACTTGGAGCCAGTGGACCGGGAACCTCCTGCGGGTGGGGCAGGGCGGCGGAGGTGGGGGGCACAGGGGCCAGCAATGAGGCCACCACCAGGCAAGTGGAGCCAGCCTGGGCAGAGACAGGGCACTGAAACCCAGGGCCCTGGGAGTGTCTGTGCTGCAACAGGGGCCCGGCCACCAAGTACCATCCCCCATCTGAAAGTGGAGAAACTGAGTTGCAGGGGCATTGCCCAGAGACCTATCACAGCTCTGCAGCCTCCGGGAGGTGCTTTAGCTAGGGGTGGGCAGCCAGCTCCTCCTCCGCTCAGAGCTCTCCCTCCACAGGAAGCCAGTGAGGCTCCATCCCAGGAACCACTGGGTTCCGTGGCTGAGGTTCCGTGTGTTGCCGCACTCCTACAACCAGGTGGCCCCACAGGCCCACGGATCATCCTGGAATCAGCACTGGGGGCTGAGGACCACGACACCTGCTGGGACCCCAGGAAGGGGATGGGTGAGGTGGGTGCTGCCAGGCTCAGGGCCAGCGCCGACCGCCCCCCACCCAAGTCTGAAGTAAACTCAGCTTACATTGGGGATAAGCCAGGTACATTGTCAGAAAACGATCTCAAGGCCAAAGGAGACCACAGCCAAATGTGTATCCCCACAGCCAAGACTAGCATTCTCCTTAAATCCAGTCACTCAAATATCAATACCTCCTGCCTGTGCCAGGGGACTCACCCGGGTGTGCCAAGGGCGGGGCCTGGCTCCCTCCTGGACCGTCGTGCCCCACCATGCCCCAGCCGACGGAGGCCCTGCCTGCATCACCAGGCCACAGGTGTCAAGCCCAGTAGCAGAGAGCAACACAAGTCAATCCCAGAAAATCGGCAGAAACCCCGGGGTGGGAGCGCAGGTGGGAGTGGCAGGCAGGATCTCAGAGCGTCTGGAGGAGGTGCCGTAGGTGCCCTGCTAACTTGATTAGGCAGGGACAAGGAGGGTCCCGGCCCTGGGAGAGGTCTGAAGGCGTCACCGGTCCTGCTCAGGTGCCCCACGATACTGAGACATCGGCGGCCATGGAGCCACAGAGGCCATAGTCCTGGAGGCAGAGTCCGAGAGTTGCAGAGGGTGGTAGAAGTCTCCCTCTGGGTAGGGATGGGACCTGGGGGTGTTGGCCCACCCCAGCCTCCGCGAGTCAGAGTGGGGCATCCCCGCTGCCCTGCCCTGGAGTCACCGCGGCTGGGCTATCTGGACATTCTCTGACAACAGTGGCCTCAGTGCAGGCCTGACACCCATCAAGGCTGTCTCAAGGCTGATGTGCAGGCAAGTGGCCATGTTTAGAGCCACTGAGGCAGGGGAACTGGCCGTGGGGCCTTGGCACAGACCCCTCCAAAGTGTTGGCGACCAAGCTGGGGAGGTGGGCACAGCCGTTCTGTTGGCTCACTCCTCAAGCCCTGCCACCCACACCCAGGCCCCTCCTCGCCTGCCCAGGGGCCCAGGGATGGAGTACCCTGCACACAGGGTGCCCAGCATCTGCCCGAACCCCAAGGGCTGACGGCTGAACTGGGACTGGGTGGACGAATGAGAGTAGATGAAGCAGGGGAAGGGAAGCCGGGGCTCGTGAAGGGACAACCACGAGAGGCCGAGCGCTTCAGCCTGCTGTTGGGGTATGAGCCCGTGAGCCATGGATGCTTCTCGCACTCCGAGCGTGTGCAGGGCACAGGCAGAGCAGCCTAGGCAGAGGTGGCCCGGCGCCCTCAGGGATGACAGGGCAGCCCCACCACCACCGGGCGCGGGTCCATCCACAGGTCTGGCCGAGCCGCCCTGCAGCCCAGGCCTCTGGAGGCGAAGGACTCTCCACCCAGACAGAGTAAGAGCGCAGCGGCAGCTGATCCTGCCGCCCCAGACCACCCCAGTCGGGTGTGCAGGAGAGAGAACCCCCAAGACACACATCAACACACATACACACACATGCATGCACCAACAAACATGAACACACATACACATACAGCATATGTACACACATGCAATATACACATACATACACTAGCACACACACATACACTTGCCACTGGATGCATGGGCACATCACACACAACACTACACACAACCACTTTCTGGACACAGCCTTTGCACACCACACAACACACGACACAGACAGCAACACACACGACATACACACCAACATACACACACAACACCACACAACCCAGCACACTAGACACACAACCCAACACCTTTGCCTTTCAACACACAGCCTACACACACTCTGTATACACATGCACACAGCACAGCCCAACACCCTTTTAACACACCCCACTTTTGCATCCAGACATGACAAGCATTACACTGACATGCATGGTACACATGTGCACACATCCAACACAACCCTACACACACATGCACATGCACCTTTGTACCACACCCTACACACCTGGGAAGCGTACCCAACACACATGCACACACCTTCCCTGCCACCAGCATATACCCTGACACCCAACATGCCCAGCTCAACACATGCACATACACAATCCACACACCAGTACACATCACGGGTATGTATTGTACCGCCACAGCTCTCAGCTTTAGTGCATGGACACACAGCACGTATACACACCCCCAACACACACATACGTGTACACACCCACCTAATGTGTTATGTACCAGTGAACTCCTGGCCAGGCACTTATGCCATAGCACTCAGGTTCACTCAGATACCCATGTCTAGGATTTCCACAGCCTGGCCCCAACTCTAAAACCTAGCTGGGAGATAGATGTCCTCTGCCTCACCCTAGCCCTGCTCCGGCCAGGATGGAGGTGGGGACACAGGGTTTTTGTATCAGCACTGCTGTCTCTGTAGCCCCAGACAAAGGCCCAGTGCTCACGTGAGGAGGCTGGTCAGCTATCACCTTGACCACCATGTGTGACTTCGAGGGCGTACAGCACCATCTTGGCAGCCACGTGCAAGGCCTTCCCACCTTCGTGTCCAGCTGCGGCGAGTCCCAGGCAGGGCATCTGGCGAGGATCATCGTGGGCTGGGAGGCCTCGTAAATCACCGTGGCCAAACCACCATCTCAGTCAAGGACATCGGAGTAGGCCAGGTGGGCTGGGGCCGAGGCCGGGGGCCGGAGGAGACTGAGGGCCACCACCGGCTGCCCTGCGCACAGGGTCATGGCTCACCACCCTGCACCAGCAATGGGCTCCAGATCACCTTTGGCAGAGTGTGGCTTGGTATGGCCAAGCAGCTGGAGCTAGAGCTGGAGGCCGTGTGGGGCCCGACCCAGCCTCATGTGAGGAGGAGAGGGCCGGAGGTGGGCCTAAGGACCACAGCACTGGGGGCGGTGGGACTCTGGGAGGGCTGCCACTCCTTGGGAGTCCCAGCCATTCCCTCAGGCTGCCATACATGTCAGGCCTTTGTACCCAAGCAGTGCTGACCCTGGCCAGCAACGTGAGCTAGGACTGGGTTTTGTAAGGTGACTCGGTTTCTCCACTAGAAGGTGGAAACCTGAAGCAGCCCAGACAAACAGGGTGGGGATGGTAGGGGGCTCTAGGTCCAGGAGCAGGAACTGAGAGCCCTCCACAGGCGGATGAGGCACCCCGGTCCCCTAGCCTCCTGGCCCCCAGCAGGCCGTCTCTCGCAGGTTCTGGTGGGCGAATGCATGGGCCAGATGTGGGCTCTCTTGAAACTTGTGGGGAAGGTGACCAATGAGTTTGTCAGTAGAGGAGGGTGGAGTGGAGAGAGAGCAGGGCTAGGGGGCCTCTGGGGAGCCTTTAGGTGGGAGGCCAGGGCTGGAGTAGGGGCCTCTGTCCCTGAGCAAGGGTAGGTGGGGGGTAGGGCTGGGTCTCAAGGTGGGGAGCGGGCTAGAGGGCCTCTCTGTTTCTGAGCAAGGAGGTGGGTAGGGACAGGCACAGGGGGCCTCTGGGTGGGGGGCAGGGCAGGAGGTGCCTCTGGGCCAGCCCCACGGTGCTGATCCCTGTCCTGTACCCCAGGCAAGTTCCTGGAACCCCCACAAGTTCGCTGCCTCAGGCTGGAGCAGGCCAGTTGAGATCTGCCTTTGAGAGCCATCCCCAACACCCCGTCCGGCCAGGTCAGCATATGGCAAAGGGGCAGTGGGAGCTGACCCAGAATCACAGTGCCAGAACCACAAGTCCCAAGCAACTTATCACAGATACCTACCCTAGCCTCTGATCGTAGTGGCAGAGTGTAGCCTTTACCCCATGACCCTGAAGTACTTCCCCAGGCCGGATCTGCACCCAGCTGCTGACCTGGTGGCCCCGAGATTGCAAGCGTGTCAAAAGAGCCCTTCGGTGCTAAGCTGCCAGGCAGAGCGTGGCCGCAGCCGCAGCCAGGCCCACAGAACAGCAGCTGTGCCACCCTGTCCGAGTGATACTCGCGGTGCAGCGCTGGTGACCCAACCCGTCCGCCGCTGGCGGGGCCGGCCTGTGCTGTGAGTCCAGGGAGGGTGGCGGGAGGCAGGGGCCGGGGAGGCTCCGGACCCCGGCTCTCCCAGCCCCTGGACTGCCTGATGTACCGCCTGCATCCTCCTCATCCTGAGATTAGAGGAGATCCCGGCTGCTGCTTCTGATGGAGGAAGGGGCTAGGCTAAGTCCTCCTGCAAGCTAGGGTGGGACAGGAGGGTCGGGGACCACTCTCCCTTAGAGCCGTGTGTGCCCACAGCTGATAGGTCAGTGCCAGCCAGCCAGGTGTGCCAGGAGTGCGTGGCTGTGTGAGGCCTGCTCAGCCATAGCACAGCTGCTCCAGCTCCTGCACAGCCGGGTGCTTCTACCCCAGAAGAGTGAGGGCAGTATGCAGGCACTCACTCTCCCAGGACCTGGGAGAGAGCCCAGGGACAAGGGGACGTCAGAATCCACCCACCGACCCGCTCACCCCCAACATTCTACCCCGTCTGAGTCCCAGCCCGGTGCCTCTTGCCCTGGGACAGGCTTACACCCGCCGGACGCAGCCTGCAGGTCTCATGCAGCCACCCTGCAAACCCACAGGCAGTGAGGGCTGCTCACTGGAGTCAGAGGAGCAGCTGAGGAAGGCAGGAGTTTGAGCTGGGCCCATGGGACGATTACATCCCTGCCTGCTGGCGTACCCACTCACCAGGAGCCTGGGCAGGCACACTGGGCCACACGAAGGGCTGTGCGCTGGGGCCTGGCGTAGACTTGCAAATGCAAGTGCAGCTGGAGTGAGAGGGAGTCACGGCCCAGGCTGGAGGGCGTCTTCTCCAAGCCCGGAGTTACAGGGTGGGGCGTCTCCTGGAGCCAGGAGGGCACGCCCTAACAGAGTGGGGAGGCAGTCAGTCCCACCCAAGCCCCAAGAAGCCCCTCTGTGCAGGTCGGTCTGAATGACCTCTCCAGTAACCACACCTGCGTACCGTCACCCAGTGCCCCTATCTGCTCCAAGCCATGTATGCCCAGGGAGAGTCACAGCTAGCCGCCTGCCAAACCTGGTAGGTGGGGCGCTGGAGAGAGACTCTGGCTGGCGAAGCAGGAGTTCCGCTGGCCTAGGGCGGGTAGGGTGTCAGCTCCAGGCGGCAGCCCCTGCCCACCATCAGTTGCCCCCATGCCCACCCACAGCCAGTGCACCCCAGGGCCGCTGGGCGTACAGGAGCGGCCATGCCCTGGCCACTGCTCCTGGTAGGCCACATGCGTCTCCACGTTCGCGCCAGGCCCTCCGCTTCCATGGCACCTGCCTACATCCTCCTCCAGGTAGGACAAGCCCCTGTGGCCCCACATTAGAGAGGAGGCACTCCCTGTGACCCCACCCATGCTACAGCGCCACCCCCTACTTGGAGCCCCAGCTTCCGAAGGGACCCGGTGCCCTCATGGCTGTATACGACAAGTCCGACTTCTCACATCCGAGACCTCCCCCTGGTGGCCGTGGTCGTTCCTCTCTCCAGGCAGGTAAGGCCTTCCACCGAGCGTCCCTGGCAGCAGGGCTCCGCTCCTGGCGCCTGCACGCCTGGCTCAGGCCACCCTCTCTCCAGGACAAGGTGTGATCTCTCAGGACGGGTGGTCACCGTGGCGGGAAGCCAAGTGGCTGCCCATACAAGACTCGTACGTCCTGGCCCAGTCCACAGCCCCCAAATGATGCCTTTGGGGTGGGCTGGTGGGCAGGAGGGCTGAGGCCCGGTGGGCACTGTGTCCTGCAGGCAGCATCAAAGTCTTCAGGCAGGCGTCCACCCCACCTCAGATGGCCTGGCCGGGTTGGAACTCGTGGTCAGCTGCGCCCCGTCTTCCAGGCCTACACATCACTGTTGGGCCCCAGTTCAGAGAGGAGTCAGACCAGAGGTGGTCCCTGCCCCTCCGGGTGGCCCTGTTGCCTCCAGTCCTGAGGCCTGGCCATGACCAGGGAAAAGGTCAAGAGAGTTCCACAGCCCCACTGTGTCCAGAGGCCCCAGGGTAACAGGCACGTGTGGCCACGTGGCTTCTCACCCAGGTGCTATTAGAGGAAGGCCAGAGGCTCCGGGTGTAGGCAGGAATGGGTGCAGAGAGACAGAGCTCAAGCTGAACTCCAGGCCTGCCGGCCTCCAGGGCTCTGGCAGCCAAAAGCGGGGAGACCTGCGGGCGACCACCTGGCGTGGAGTATGGCAGGGGGACACCGCCTGCGCTGTTTGTGGACTCCTGGCGGGCGAGAGCTGTCAGGAAATGTCTGGAGCGTGGGAATGACCCTGCTCATAAGGCCAGCTCAATAGTGAGTGTCCATTTGTCCCTGGCTGCCCCCAGCACCCACAGTTCAGCAGACCCCTGGACTAGGCCACAGGCCCGGCTGCTTAGGGTGGGGAGTCCCTGGGAAGGAGCCGTGTTTGGAATGGGGAGGGGCCAGGACTCACCACCCGGGCCTGTCGTCCCACAGAGGTGTGTGCGAGGACCCACTGTTCCGTGCACTGCTGAGGACAGGCACGGGTGTCGAAGTGCCATGCCACAGTGAACCGCGCCCTTCACTGACAAGGTGGGGAGGCCGAGGGCGTCTTGGGAGGCTGCAGGGGAAGGCCGTGGTGGCTGACACATGGTCTCAGGCACCCAAGGCATAGGTTTGGGGCCCCACATCCCCCAGGGCAGAAGTGCCTGCCGCAGCCATGCTGGCTCTCTGCCGCAGAGGTGCGTGTGCCAGGCCTGCAACTGCGGGAGACCTTCCCACACATCTGGCACCGCCCCTGGCGACTACGTACTGCGCGCCTGCACCTCCACGGGGGCGTCCTGCTCTGGGGCTGGAGGGGAAGCAGGCGTGGACAGCTGCAGTGAGTGCCCGGCAGGGCATAGGCGGGATCACATGGAGGCTGCTGGAGGGCTCATGAGGGGGTGTCCTTTAGGGCCCCAAGCTCTGAGGCTCTACCCAGTGCCCGCACACACACACATGCACACATACACAATCACACACACCCAATACACATGCGGGTATGTATTGTACACGCCTACACAGCTCTCCAACACACACCCCCAATGCACGCATGGACACACCTGACACGTATGCACACACCCCCAACACACACATACGTGTACACACACACACGTGTGTACATATGCCCACAGCAGTGCTGACTCCTGGCCAGGCATATACCATAGCACTCAGGTTCACTCAGATGCCCATGTCTGGGGTTTCCACAGCCTGGCCCCAACTCTAAAACCCTGGCCCAGGGAGATGAGTGACCTCTCTGCCTGCCCTAGCCCTGCCCGGCCAGGATGGTGGGGACACAGGGTTTTGTGTCAGCACTGCTGTCTCTGTAGCCCCAGACAAAGGCCAGTGCTCCACGTGGGGGGCTGGTCACTTCTCCACCTTCGACCACCATGTGTACGACTTCTCGGGGACGTGCAACTACATCTTCGCGGCCACGTGCAAGGACGCCTTCCCCACCTTCAGTGTCCAGCTGCGGCGAGGTCCAGACGGGAGCATCTCGCGGATCATCGTGGAGCTGGGGGCCTCCGTCGTCACCGTGAGCGAAGCCACCATCTCAGTCAAGGACATCGGGTAGGCCAGGTGGGCTGGGGCCCCGGGGCCCGGGGGCCGGAGGACTGAGGGGCCACCACCGACTGCCCTCGCCCCACAGGGTCATCAGCCTGCCCTACACCAGCAATGGGCTCCAGATCACACCCTTTGGCCAGAGTGTGCGGCTGGTGGCCAAGCAGCTGGAGCTAGAGCTGGAGGCCGTGTGGGGCCCCGACAGCCACCTCATGGTGAGGAGAGAGGGGCCGGGGTGGGCCTGGAGACCCACAGCACTGGGGGGCAGGTGGGACTCTGGAGGGGCTGCCCTCCTTGGGAGTCCCAGCCAGCCCTCAGGCTGCCATGCAGCCAGGCCCTTTGTGCCAAGCAGTGCTGACCCCTGGCCAGCAACGTGAGCTAGGACTGGGTTTTGTGGGTGACTCGGTTTCTCCACTGGAAAATTAGGCTCCCACAAGAAGCAGCAGACAAACAGGGTGGGGGGATGGTGGGGGCTCTGGGTCCAGGAGCAGGAACTGAGAGCCCTCCACAGCGGATGAGGGGCACCCCGGTCCCCTAGCTCCCTGGCCCCCAGCAGAGCCGTCTCCCGCAGGTTCTGGTGGAGCGGAAGTACATGGGCCAGATGTGTGGGCTCTGCGGAAACTTTGACGGGAAGGTGACCAATGAGTTTGTCAGTGAGGAGGGTAGGTGGAGGCAGGGCTGGGGGCCTCTGGGGGAGCCTTTAGGTGGGGGCCAGGGCTGGTGGGGGCCTCTGTTCTGAGCAACAAGGGTAGGTGGGGGTAGGGCTGTGGGTCTCAAGGTGGGGGGCAGAGCTGGGGGGCCTCTGTTCTGAGCAAGGAGGGTAGGTAGGGGACAGGGCTGGGGGGCCTCTAGGTGGGGGGCAGGGCAGGGGTGCCTCTGAGGCCCAGCCCCCACGGTGCTGATCCCTGTCCTGTACCCCAGGCAAGTTCCTGGAACCCCACAAGTTCGCTGCCCTCCAGAAGCTGGACGACCCCGGTGAGATCTGCACCTTTGAGGACATCCCCAACACCCACGTCCGGCAGGTCCAGCATGTAAGCAAGGGGGCTCCCGGTGGGGCTGACCCCAGGTCTCACAGGGTCGCCGAGACCACCAGGGTCCCCCACAAGCAGCCCCATCACAGATGCCCTGCCCTGACCTCCCCAGTCGTGGTGGCACGGGGTGTGGCCTTTGCCCCCATGACCCTGAGTGGCCCCCCCAGGCCCAGATCTGCACCCAGCTGCTGACCCTGGTGGCCCCCGAGTGCAGCGTGTCCAAGGAGCCCTTCGTGCTAAGCTGCCAGGCAGACGTGGCCGCAGCCACCCAGCCAGGCCCACAGAACAGCAGCTGTGCCACCCTGTCCGAGTACTCCCGCCGGTGCAGCATGGTGGGCCAACCCGTCCGCCGCTGGCGGGGCCCCGGCCTGTGCTGTGAGTCCAGGGAAGGGTGGCGGGGGGCAGGGAGGCCGAGGGCTCCAGACCCAGCTCTCCCAGCCCCTGGACTGCCTGATGTGCCGCCTGCATCCCTCCTCATCTGAGAGACAGGAGATCCCGGCTGCTGCTTCTAGATGGAGGAAGGGCTGGGCTAAGTCCTCCACCAAGCTAGGGTGGGACAGGGAGGGGTCGGGGGGGACCCTCTCACCAGAGCCGTGTGTGCCCACAGCCGTGGGTCAGTGCCCAGCCAACCAGGTGTACCAGGAGTGCGGCTCGGCCTGTGTGAAGACCTGCTCCAACCCGCAGCACAGCTGCTCCAGCTCCTGCACCTTCGGGTGCTTCTGCCCAGAAGGTGAGGGCAGTGGCAGGCACTCACTCTCCCCGGGACCCCTGGAGAGAGCCCAGGGACAAGGGGACGTCAGAATCCACCCACCCCGACCCGGCTCACCCCAACATTCTGCCGTCTGAGTCCCAGCCCCGGTGCCTCTTGCCCTGGGACAGGCTTTTCCCGCCCGGATGCTTGCAGCCTGCAGGTCTCCCAGCCATGGCCACCCCTGCAAACCCACAGGCAGTGAGGGCTGCTCACTGGAGTCGGGGAGCAGCTGAGAGAAGGCAGGGTTTGAGCTGGGCCCATGGGACAGTTACACATCCCTGCCTGCTGGCGGCCACCACTCACCAGGAGCCTGGGCCGGGCACACTGGCACGAAGGGCTGTGCACGCACAGGGCCTGACGTAGACTTGCAAATGCAAGTGCAGCTGGAGTGAGAAGTCACGGCCCAGGCTGGAGGGGGCGTCTTCTCCAAGCCAGGTTACAGGGTGGGGGGCGTCTCCCTGGAGCCAGGGAGGGGCCGCCTAACAGGAGAGTGGGAGGCAGTCAGTCCCACCCAAGCCCCAAGAAGCCCCTCTATTGCAGGTACGGTCCTGAATGACCTCTCCAGTAACCACACCTGCGTGCCCGTCACCCAGTGCCCCTGTCTGCTCAACGGCGCCATGTATGCCCCCGGGGAGGTCACAATAGCCGCCTGCCAAACCTGGTGAGTGGGGCGCTGGAGGGGGCTCTGGCTGGCCGGCAGGAGTTCCGCTGGCCTAGGGCGGGTAGGGGTGTGCTGTCCAGCTCCAGCGGCCCTGCCCACCATGCGGTTGCCCCCATGCCCACCCACAGCCAGTGCACCCAGGGCCGCTGGGCGTGCAGGGAGCGGCCATGCCCTGGCCACTGCTCCCTGGAAGGTGGCTCCTTCGTCACCACGTTCGACGCCAGGCCCTACCGCTTCCATGGCACCTGCACCTACATCCTCCTCCAGGTAGGACAAGCCCTGTGGCCCGTGGGGAGGGGCACTCCTGGTGACCCCACCCATGCCTGAGCGCCACCCCCTCGCAGAGCCCCCAGCTTCCCGAGGACGGTGCCCTCATGGCTGTGTACGACAAGTCCGGCTTCTCACACTCCGAGACCTCCCTGGTGGCCGTGGTCTATCTCTCCAGGCAGGTAAGGCCTTCCCGAGCCCGTCCCTGGCAGCAGGGCTCCGCTCCCTGGCGCCTGCGCCCTGACTCAGGCCACCCTCTCTCCAGGACAAAATTGTGATCTCTCAGGACGAGGTGGTCACCAACAACGGAGAAGCCAAGTGGCTGCCATACAAGACTCGTACGTCCTGGCCCAGTCCCTGGCCCCCCAGAACGGTGCCTTTGGGGTGGGCTGCAGTGGGCAGGGAGGGGGCTGAGACGGCCCATTGAGCACTGTGTCCTGCAGGCAACATCACGGTCTTCAGGCAGACGTCCACCCACCTCCAGATGGCCACCAGCTTCGGGTTGGAACTCGTGGTCCAGCTGCGCCCCGTCTTCCAGGCCTACATCACTGTTGGGCCCCAGTTCAGAGGTCAGACCAGAGGTGAGTCCCTGCCCCTCCGGGTGGCCCTGTTGCCTCATTCCTATGGGGCCTGGCCATGACCAGGGGAGGAGAAAGGTCCAAGAGAGGTTCACACAACCCTGTGTGTCCGGGGAGCCCCCGGGGGTAACAGGCACGTGTGGCCCACGTGGCTTCTCACCCAGGGTGCTATTAGAGGAAGGACGGGAGCTCCAGGGCGTGTGGGCAGGAATGGGTGCAGGAGGAACAGGCTCAAGCTGAACTCAGGCCTGCCGGCTCAGGGCTCTGCGGCAACTTCAACGGGGACACTACGGACGACTTCACCACCAGCGTGGGTATCGCCGAGGGCACCGCCTCGCTGTTTGTGGACTCCTGGCGGGCGGGAAACTGTCCAGTCGCTCTGGAGCGTGAGACTGACCCCTGCTCCATGAGCCAGCTCAACAGTGAGTGTCCGGCCCCCAACTCCCCCTGGCTGCCCCCCAGCACCCACAGTTCTGACAGACCCCTGGACTCGACCACAGGCCCAGCTGCCAGGGTGGGGGGTCCCTGGGAGGAGCCGTGGCTGGAATGGGGAGGGGCCAGGACTCACACCCGGGCCTGTCGTCCCCAGAGGTGTGTGCGGAGACCCACTGTTCCGTGCTGCTGAGGACAGGCACGGTGTTCGAGAGGTGCCATGCCACAGTGAACCCCGCGCCCTTCTACAAGGTGAGGGCCCGAGGGCGTCTTGGGAGGGCTGCAGGGAAGGCCGTGGTGGCTGACATGGTCTCAGGCACCCAAAGGCATAGGTTTGGGGCCCCCACATCCCCAGGGCAGGGTGCCTGCCACCAGCCCATGCTGGCTCTCTGCCCGCAGAGGTGCGTGTACCAGGCCTGCAACTACGAGGAGACCTTCCCCCACATCTGTGCCGCCCTGGGCGACTACGTACACGCCTGCACCTCACGGGGCGTCCTGCTCTGGGGCTGGAGAAGCAGCGTGGACAACTGCAGTGAGTGCCCGGCAGGGCTTGAGCGGGATCACAGCAGGCTGGGCTCATGAGGGGGTGTCCTGGGGCCCCAAGCTCTGAGGCTCTGCAGTGCCCGGAAGGCAGTGGAGCCCAAGCTCACCCTCCCCAACTGGCCCCTCCTGGAGGGTCTGATGCCCGGGTCCCCCACAGCCATCCCCTGCACGGGCAACACCACCTTCAGCTACAACAGCCAAGCCTGTGAGCGCACCTGCCTGTCACTGTCGGACCGGGCCGCCGAGTGCCATGCCAGTGCAGTGCCCGTGGATGGTTGCAACTGTCCCAATGGCACCTACCTGAACCACAAGGGCGAGTGTGTGCGCAAGGCCCAGTGCCCGTGCACACTGGAGGGTTACAAATTCATTCTGGCTGAGCAGTCCACCATCATCAACGGCATCACCTGGTAAGGGGCCAGGCAGGGGCCAGGCGGGGGGTCCCTGCCGGGCCCCGGGGGCTCACGCAGCCTCTCTCTTGCAGCTACTGCATCAACGGGCGGCTGAGTTGCCCGCAGCGACCACAGATGTTCCTGGGTACGTACAGCAGCGCCGGCCACAGGCTGGGACTGTGAGGGGCCCCGGCTTCCTCTCAGTGTCCTGACTGGGTGCCCCTCTTTCCTACAGCCACCTGCCAGGCCCCCAAGACCTTCAAGTCCTGCAGCCAGTCCTCCGAGAACAAGTTTGGGGCGGCCTGTGCCCCCACGTGCCAGATGCTGGCCACTGGTGTTGCCTGCGTAAGGGGGCGCGTAAGGGGGCGCGCAAGGAGCGGGAACGCCCAGGCCCCACCTGGGCCATGAGGGAGTTTCCACAGAACCCCGGGAGACCCGGCCATGTTCTGCCCTGCGGCGGGTGCCTGGGGCTGGCCAGGAGGTGGGAGCAGCCCTGTGGCCGGGCAGCTGGAGGCCCCAGGGGCTCGTCTGCAGGGCTCCCTGAGGACAGTGGCCAGCACCAGCTTGGGGAGGGTGGGTTGTCCACGTGTAGGGGTGGGTACAGAGTCCCAGCACCTTCCACAAGGTGGGGGAAGCTTTGCTAAGGCAATAAGCCCAGCTGCCCACAAAGGCCACAGAGTAGGGCTCTATTCAGGGAGAGGGCCTGGGAGACACGCCAGGTGGTCTCTGAGGGGCCCAGGGCTGGGCAGCGGCTGGCTGAGGCCACCCTTCCAGGGGCCGCTGACGTGCCTCCCTCCAGGTGCCCACCAAGTGTGAGCCTGGCTGTGTCTGCGCCGAGGGCCTCTACGAGAATGCCGACGGGCAGTGTGTGCCCCCTGAGGAGTGCCCGTGTGAGTTCTCGGGGGTCTCCTACCCTGGCGGAGCTGAGCTCCACACCGACTGCAGGACCTGGTGAGACAAAGCCTCGCTCCAGACGCCATGGGCTCCTGGGGCTGTCTGGGGCAGGCAGGGGCTGCCCAAGGTGGGGTTGTCCCGGAGGTAGGGGCATCCAGAGGTGCAGCCTGGCCTCTCCAGGGACCACACCCAGTATGGCAGGAGGGCCACGGGCCTGCCACCCACACCTGCTGTCTCCACAGCACCTGCTCCAGGGGGAGGTGGGCCTGCCAGCAGGGCACCCACTGCCCGTCCACCTGCACCCTCTACGGGGAGGGCCACATCGTCACCTTCGACGGCCAACGCTTCGTATTCGACGGCAACTGCGAGTACATCCTGGCCACGGTATCCACCGGGCGCGGAGCTGCGGGGCCTGGGGACCCAGAGGCACGTCCCCCGGGGCTCCTCCTCAGTGCCCTCTCCCTGCAGGACGGGTGTGGTGCCAATGATTCACAGCCCACCTTCAAGATCCTGACAGAGAACGTCATCTGTGGGAACTCCGGGGTCACGTGTTCACGCGCCATCAAGATCTTCCTGGGGGTGAGCAGCCAGGCAGACTCTGGCAGGGCGGGAGGGGCGGTAGGGGGCCCCTGCCACACAGCTGGACCCTGCCCACTGGAGCCTCCAGGTCCTGCCCCGAGGTGCAGCTCTCCCCGCCTGCCTCTCCTTGAGGGGTGCCTGCTGCCCCTCCCTGGCCAGACACTCAGGACCAGGGGTGCTTGTCCCCCACAAGGTTTCAGGGGCTGCGCAGTGTCTCCCAGGCAGAGGGGAGGGACTCTCCAGGAAGCCCGAGCTTCAGCCCTCAGCCCTGTTCCAGGCATGCCAGGCCCTTCTGCCCCAAGCTGGTTCTCAGCAGATGCTCCTGTGCATGGCCTTAACAGACCTGGCAGCTCTGCCTCTGAGAGCTCGGTCCAGCACAGCTGTGCCATGGGCCGGGGGAGACAGGCAGTCCCATGCCAACCCTACTCCACAGGGCCTGTCCGTGGTGCTGGCAGACAGAAACTACACGGTCACCGGGGAGGAGTCCCACGTGCAGCTCAGTGTGAGGCCAGGCACGCTGAGCCTTGTCGTGGACATCAGTGTCCCCGGAAGGTACAACCTGACACTCATCTGGAACAGGCACATGACCATCCTCATCAGGATCACCCGTGCCTCCCAGGTACCGCACGCCCTCTGCGTCCTCCCAGACCCTCCCCGATGCACAGTCCCTGGGCCCGGCCTGATGCCGCTGCCTGCAGGATCCCCTCTGCGGCTTGTGTGGCAACTTCAACGGGAATATGAAGGACGACTTTGAGACGCGCAGCAGGTACGTGGCGTCCAGCGAGCTGGAGTTCGTGAACTCGTGGAAGGAGAGCCCGCTGTGCGGGGACATGCGCTTCGTGGCGGACCCCTGCAGCCTCAATGCCTTCCGGCGCTCCTGGGCCGAGCGCAAGTGCAGCATCATCAACAGCCAGACCTTTGCTGCCTGCCACAGCAAGGTGGGCACCGGGCAGAGGGCTGTGCGCCTGCTCCTCCACAGATGTCCGGTGGGGGTCGGGGGGGGCTGGGGGCCGGGCCCTGTCTCGCCCAAGGTGGGAAAGCCAGGCACGGTTCTCCCTCCATGGGATCCCAGACCAGCCAGATCAGGGTGCAGAGAGGTTCAGACCCTCTGCCTGAGCGCAGGGCCCTGACATGGGGCCGACTCGTGCACTGTGGCTGTTTAGCAGCCCCTGGCCTCTGGCCACCAGATGCCAATAGCACCCCCAGACAGTGCCATGAGTCCCCTGGGGCAGCATGGCCTGGTGGGGCCCCCTGCTCAGGAGCCGGTGGTCCGGGAGACCTCCAGGATGCAGTGCATGTGCTTCCTGGCCCAGGGTGTGACCCAGTCATCGGGGTGCAGTAAGAACTGAGAGGATGGGGGCAACCCATGGTGGAAGAGCATGGCACTGGCCCACTGAATGTGAGCGTGGCGTAGGGGAAGCGGAGACCCCGGGCAGGGCTGCAGTGGTCATGGTTAGTGGCAGCGTACCTTGGTCCCGATGGCGGATCTCACGGCGTGAGCTCGGGTCAGGCCTCCATGGCAGCATCGGCTTTGGGAGCGTGACTGGCGGTCAGGGCTGAGGTCCATGTGCTGCCGCTCACCCAGTCCCAGTGCCCTTGCCGCCACACTCTGGCCTCACCACCCTGAGGGCACTGCAGGTGGCAAAGCCTGGTGCCCCGCCATCCCCTGGCGGCCAGACACTGACTGGCACACGGCCCTGCAGGTATACCACCTGCCCTACTACGAGGCCTGCGTGCGCGACGCATGTGGGTGTGACAGTGGCGGGGACTGTGAGTGTCTGTGCGACGCTGTGGCCGCCTACGCCCAAGCCTGTCTAGACAAGGGTGTGTGTGTGGACTGGAGGACCCCGGACTTCTGCCGTGAGTGACCACCCCACCCACAGGTTGCTCCAGCCCCTGACACCCAGCACCACTAAGGACCAGCGCAGGGCTGCCCTCGCCCACAGGCCCCTCTCCCTGGACAGGCACCAGGCTGTGCCCTGCAGGGCCACCCTGGTCCTCCCGCAGCCCCCAGCTGCCCAGGGGAGGTTTCGCCAAGAGGGCCCAGGCCTTCCCCGCCCACGCTCAGGTTCCATGCATGCCCAGGGGAACCACTGGGTCAGGGCCGGGGCCAGGGCCAGGAACCCCGCCAGCTGACATGTCCCTTCCTCCCAGCCATCTACTGCGGCTTCTATAACACGCACACGCAGGACGGCCACGGCGAGTACCAGTACACCCAGGAGGCCAACTGCACGTGGCACTACCAGCCCTGCCTCTGCCCCGGCCAACCACAGAGCGTCCCAGGCAGCAACATCGAAGGTGCCAGGTGGCGGGGAGGTGACGCAGATACACAGGGGGACCCATTCACTCATTCATGCACATTCATTCATTCACACACATTCACTCATTCACACATTCACACATTCATTCATTCATGCTTATTAACTCACACGCATTCATTAATTCACACATTCATTCACACATTCATTCACTCACACACATTCACGTTCTTTCATGCAGATTAATGCACATTCACGCATATTCATTCATTCACACACATTTGTTCATCCACTCACACATTCACGCATTCATTCACGTACCTTCATTCATGCTCATTCATTCACGCAGTCACATTCACGCAGATTCATGCACATTCATTCACGCATATTCATTCATGCACGCACATTTGTTCATCCACTCACACACATTCACACACATTCACTCATGTACATTCATTCATGCACATTCATTCACGCACATTCACTCCACATTCATCCATTCACGCTCACTCATGCACACTCATTCAACATATTCATGCTCATTCATTCACGCATTCACTCAACACATTCATTCATGCTCATTCACACATTCACTCATGTACATTCACGCAGATTCATGCACATTCATTCATGCACATTCGTTCATTCACTCATGCACATTCACACATTCATTGACATTCACACACATTCACTCATTCACACATTCATCCATGCACATTCATTCATTCATTCATGCTTGCTTATTCATTCAAGCACATTCGCTCATACACATTGATGCATTCACTTGCACATTCATTCTTTCACACACAGTCATTCACTCGCTCAGCAGATGCGTCCTGAGCACCTCTGTCCTCCAGGCCAGTTCCAGGTCAGGGGACCTGGCCTTACACAAAACAAACAGTCCTACACCCTGGGGCTTCCCTCCCAGCCAGGGAGAGGTGCCTAAGGAGGCAGAACCAGTGTCAGCCAAGGCGCCCACCATGGAGGGGAGAAAGGCAGGCCAGGGCGGAAGAGCTACCCCATGGCTTCCGTGCCACACAGGGTGGTTGGGGTCCTTGGTGGGAGGCAGACGTGAGGGTGAGGATGGGAAAGGTGAGGCGGGGAGCCAGGAAAGTGTCCAGAGGAGCAGCCAGGAGCAGCCTCGTGCCCAGAACCCTTGAGAAAGCCAGGGCAGTGGGCAGAGCGAGTGAGGGGCACGGGGCTACAGAGGGGTGTGGGGTACACAGAAGTGTGGGATGGGGTGTGCCCAGGATGCAGGGGACTTTGCGAGCCCTGTGGCTGACCCAGGGCAGATGTCTGAACGCAGATGGTCCTGGGATTAACAGGTGCTGGCCCAAGCGGTGGAGGAGGGTGATGTCTGGAGCCAGCCGGACACACGGGACAGATGCACTGGGGCTCAGGAGGGCAATGCAGGGTACCTGCATTGGGGAGCACAGAAGAGGGGTGCCAGTGTCTGAGGTCCAGGGGGAGGTGAGGACTGGAAGATGGCACTGAAGCCCCAGCCTCGGGTGATAAGCAGGAGATGAGAGGCCAAGGCCTGAGGAAGGCATGGCGGGAAAGGAGTGGCTTAGAGCAAGGTGCGCGGGTGAAACTAATCCCTGCACACTGGGAGGCCGAGGCAGGCAAATCACCTGAGGTCAGGAATTCGAGACCAGCCTGCCCAACATGGCGAAGCCCCATCACTACTAAAAATACAAAAATTAGCCGTGCATCATGGCACATGCCTGCAATCGCAGCTACTTGGGAGGCTGAGGTAGGAGAATCACTTGAATCCAGGAGGCAGAGGTTGCAGTGAGCTAAGATCACGCCACTGCACTCCAGTCTGGGCAACAGAGCGAGACTCTGTCAAAAAAAAAAAAAAAAAAAGGCAGAGAGGAAGGAGGCCGCCCGGGCAGGAAACGTGCAGGTGAGCCTGGCTGGCCACTGGTCACACAGCCTGGCTGTTCTCCACCGTAGGCTGCTACAACTGCTCCCAGGATGAGTACTTCGACCACGAGGAGGGGGTGTGCGTGCCCTGCAGTAAGTCCAGTCAGCTGCCCTGAGAACCCCTGCCCCTGCCTACATGGAGGCAGAAAGCACATCTGCATCCCACAAACAAGGGAGAGAGCCCTCGGGCGCTGTGAGCCTTTACATGAGCTCTGGGACTCAACTGTCCGGGACCCTGGCCCCTTGGGTCTCCAGAGACTCAGGCAGCCTCCAGCCCATGGCAGCAGAGAGAAAAACACAGCACTGAACCCCGTTGGGCCCTCCCATCCCTCTTCCACCAGCCCCCAGCTCCCCCTACCCTCACCAGGCCTGCCAGGGTGCCTGGGGTAGAGAGTGGGAATCATACTGGGAAGTAGAAAGGGAGAGAGGGAAGGGTAGGCTCCCAGCCCCTCTGATCCCCTCCACCTCATCCTTGGTGAGCATCTCTGACTCAGGCCCTCGGAGCTCCTGGAGGCCCCGTGGGGTGGGGAGGCTTCGAGCGCCACAGGGAGCTGACGCCATCTTCTTGCAGTGCCAGCCACCACACCGCAGCCATCCACCACAGGTGATTGCACGCACACTAGGTGCCAAGGTGACGCGGCCCTTTCCTGGGCTCCCCCTGGCTCCCTGGACAAATCTGTTGGGTGGGAAGCAGGGAGGGGGCAGGCAGTACCTGTGCCCTTCCCAGGTCTAACCTGGCAATTAGAGCTGGGGGAGGAGCTCAGCCCACAGCCAGGCAGCAGCCTGGTCCCCGTGGCCCTGGCTGGATCCACGGATGAGCACACAGTGGGGCCTCAACAGGTGACCGCCGCCATGCAGAAGGCCCGGCCAGGAGCCAGGCTGCACTCAGAGAGCCACGGGCCAGCCCTCAACTGAGTGCCTGGCACATCAGCCTCTGCAGGGCTGCCCGGCTTCAGGGCCAAGCAGGCAGTGGGGAGGGTGCTCCCCAAGGATGTGCCAGTGCCCTGCAGCCCTGATGGCATGTCCGTCCACCCAGGCTCACGGCCCACACAAGTCTGGCCCACAACGGGAACCTCCACCACCATCGGGCTTCTCAGCTCCACCGGACCCTCACCCAGCTCCAAACACACCCCTGCCAGCCCCACCCAGACACCCCTCCTTCCAGCCACGCTCACATCCTCCAAGCCCACGGCCTCCTCAGGAGGTAAGGAGTCTCCAGATGAGCCCATGGAGAGGGCAGCTGCAGGGGGTCCTAGGTACACCTCTGGGGTGGGTTCAGGGATGGCCCCGCTTCCTGGCTCAGATCTGCCACTAAGCAGATTCTCAGCATAGAATTTCCTATGCTTGGGAGCCAAACTGGGAATTTTTCAGAAAAACTTTTAAAGACAAGCTGGTCACGGCACGGGGCATTCCTTGCTGCTGGCTGCTGTCACTAGAAACCATGTGGGACCTACAGGGCCTCTGCCAGGCAGCCTGCCCCTGCCCTACACCGAGCAGGGCCCCATCTGCTGCCCAGGGACCCTGGAGGGGACAGGACAACTGTCCACTCAGCCGAGTAAGGGTGGGTGCAGGAGCAGCTGCAGCCCCATGAGCATGTGGTCACTGCTCCAGCTCTGGCCGCCACAGCCAGGAGTACGGCGGGAGGACCTAACAAAGGCAAGAGGAAGAGTCCCTCCAAGGAGGCTGAGTCCCGGACAGCAGGCCAGGGATCCCAGGAGCAGGGCAGGGGGCTGGGACGTAAGCCTTTGAGATGCAGGCCCACAGGAAGGGGATGTTCCGGGCGGCTGTCCTCTGCAGAACCACCTAGACCAACCACGGCCGTCACCCCACAAGCCACATCAGGGCTGCCTCCCACAGCCACACTGAGATCGACAGCCACAAAACCCACAGTGACCCAGGCCACAACCAGGGCCACAGCATCGACTGCCAGCCCAGCCACAACGTCCACAGCTCAGTCCACAACACGGACCACGGTGACACCACCAACACCAGCCACACCAGGGACAAGCCCCACGCTGCGTAAGTCACGGCGCCATAGGATGCCAACCATCGCGAAGGCACCCGGTCCCACCTCCAGCTCACATTTGGTGACTCAGCCGCAAAGGAGACCCCGTATTTCCCAAAGGGCAAGTGGGAAGGCAGCCCAACAGTGCACGCTGGAGCTAGATGCGAGGGAGGGCCGCCCTGCACCCACAGAGGCAGGCCTGGGGAGCAGACGTGCAGGAGGGCAGGGGCCACCACTAGGGCCACAAGGAACCAGACGGGGATAAAGTAGGGCCTGGGCTCCAGTCACACAGTGGCAGCTGCGCTGAAGGAGTCAGCACTCAGCTCGGGGCAGGATGCAGAGCAGGTCCAGGTGAGATGGAGACACTGGGGCAGGCTGGAGTGCCCAGCAGGGGCCATGTCACAGGACCAGAGACAGAGACAGGCAAGAAAAAGGTCACACGGAAAAAAGGCCAGCAGAGGTCAGGGTAGAGACACAAAAACAGTAACAATGACAACTTCACCAATTCCCACAGCAAAATCGACAAATCAGGAAGTGCCAGGAACAACGGCCACCCAGACGACAGGCCCACGTCCAACCCCAGAGAGCACCACGGGCCCAACCACCCCACAGCCAGGACAACCCACGAGGCCCACAGCCACAGAGACAACTCAAACAGGAATGACCACTGAATACACAACGCCCCAAACCCCACACATCACACATTCCCCACCAGTGGGGAGTCTCGCTGCTTCCACAGGTCCTACGACTGCAACATCCTTCCAGACCACCACTATCTATCCAACACCATCACACCCTCAGACCACACTTCCCACTCACGTGCCACCTTTCTCCACCTCCTCAGTGACTCCAAATACTCACACAGTCATCACGCCTACCCACGCACAGATGTCCACTTCTGCCTCTATCCACTCAACGCCAACAGGCACCATTCCTCCACAAACAACAGTCAAGTCCACAAGGTCCACCCACACGGCCCCACCAATGACGACAACAACCAGTAGGACCAGCCAAGACAGCAGCTCATTCAGTACAGCCAAAACCTCTACATCCCTACACTCATACACTTCCTCCACACACCATCCTGAAGTCACCCCAACTTCTACCACCACCATTACTCCCAAGTCCACCAGTACAAGCACAGGCACCCCTGTGACCCACACCAACTCAGCCACCAGCAGCAGGACACCCATACCCATCACAACACACTCCCCACCTACAGGGAGCACTTCTGTCTCTTCCACAGGTTCCATGACTGCAACATCCGTCAAGACCACCACTACCTATCCAACACCATCACACCCTCAGACCACACTTCCCACTCATGTTCCAGCTTTCTCCACCTCCTTGGTGACTCCAAGTACTCACACAGTTATCACTCCTACCCACGCACAGATGTCCACTTCCTCCTCCATCCACTCAAAGCCAACAGGCACCATTACTTCACCAACAACCCTCATGGCCACAGGGTCCACGCCCACAGCCCCAACAATGACGGGGACCATCAGTGGAACCAGTCAAGCCCAGAACTCAATCAGCACAGCCAAAACCTCTACATCCCTACACTCACAGGCTTCTTCCACACACCATCCTGAAATCACCCTAACTTCTACCACCACCATTACTTCCAACCCCACCAGTACAGGCACAGGCACCCCTGTGGCCCACACCACCTTGGTCACCAGCAGCAAGCCACCACCACCCTTCACCACATACTCCCCACCTACAGGGAGTAGTCCCGTCTCTTCCACAGGTCCTATGACTGCCACATCCTTCCAGACCACCACTACCTATCCAACCCCACCACACCCTCAGACCACATTTCCCACTCACATTCCACCTTTCTCCACCTCCTTGGTGACTCCAACTACTCAATTTCCCACTCATGATTCCACCTTTCTCCACCTCTTGGTGACTCTAACTACTCACACAGTCACCACCCTCACCACGCACATTTGTCTACTTCTGCCTCCATCCACTCAACGCCAACAGGCACCATTCCTCCACCAACAGCACTCACTCTACCACAGGGTCCATGCACACAGCCCCATCGATGACGGTGACCACCAGTGGGACCAGCAAAGCCCCGAGCTCATTCAGCACAGCCAAAACTCTCCATATCTCTACTCACATGCTTCTTCCACACACCATCCTGAAATTACCCCAACTTCAACCACCACCATTACTCCCAAATCCACCAGTGCAGAAACCAGCACCCCTGTGGCCCACACCACCTCGGCCACTATCAGTGAGCCACACACACCCTTCACCACAGATTCCCACATTCAGGAATAGTCCTGCACTACCACAGGTCCCATGACTGCAACATCCGTCAAGACCACCACTACCTATCCAACCCCATCACACCCTCAGACCACACTTCCCACTCACGTTCCACCTTTCTCCACCTCCTTGGTGACTCCAACTACTCACACTGTCATCACCCCTACACACTCACAGACGTCCACTTCCACCTCCATCCACTCAACACCAACAGACATCATTCTCCTTCATCAACAATAGTCAAGGCCACAGGGGTCTGTTGCCACACACAGCTCCCACCCAATGACAGGGACCACCAGTGGGACCAGCCAAGTCCACAGCTCATTCAGCACAGCCAAAACCTCTATATCCCTCCTCTCACATGCTTCCTCCACATACCATCCTGAAACCACACCAAATTCTACCACCATTATTCCCAAGTCCACTAGTGCAGGAACCAGCACCCCTGTGGCCCACACCACGTTGACCACCATCAGTGAGCCACACACACCTTTCACCACACATTCACCTTCAGGGAGCAGACCCAGCTCTTCCACAGGTCCTATGACTACAACATCCTTCAAGACCACCACTACCTATCCAACCCCATCACACCCTCAGACCACACTTCCCACTCACGTTCCACCTTTCTCCACCTCCTTGGTGACTCCAACTACTCACACTGTCATCACCCCTACACACTCACAGACGTCCACTTCCACCTCCATCCACTCAACACCAACAGACATCATTCCTTCATCAACAACAGTCAAGGCCACAGGGTCCACACACACAGCCCTACTAATGACAGGGATCACCAGTGGGACCAGCCAAGTCCACAGCTCATTCAGCACAGTCAAACCTCTACATCCCTAAGGTTCACATGGTTCTCCACACATCATCCAGAAATCACCCCAACTCTACCACTGCACTACTCCACACCCCACTAGTACAGACACTGAACCCTGGGTGGCCCACACCACCTCAGCCACCAGCAGCAGGCCACCACCACCCTTCACCACACACTCCACACCTACAGGGAGCAGTCCCACCACTTCCAAAGGTCCTACGACTACGACATCTCTCAAGACGCACTACTACCTATCCAACCCCATCACACCCTCAGACCACAATTCTACTCACATTCCATCTTTTCACTCTCAGAACCCAAGACAATTCTCACCAGTCATCATCCCTACCCACGCACAGATGTCAACTTTCACCTATATGCACTCAATGCCAACAGGCACCATTCCTCCACAAACAACAGTCAAGGCCACAGGGTCCACCCACACGGCCCCACCAATGACGGCAACAACCAGTAGGACCACCCAAGCCCAAAGCTCCTTCAGCACAGCCAAAACGACTACATCCCTACACTCACATGCTTCCTCTACACACCATCCAGAAATCACCCCAACTTCTACCATCATGATTACTCCTGGCACACCAGTGCAGGTGCACTGGCACCCTGTGACCCACACCACCTCAGCCACCAGCAGCAGGCCGCCACCACTGTCACAACACACTTCCCCACCTACAGAGTAGTCCTCTTTTCCACAGGTCCTATGACTCCAACATCCTTCAAGACCACCACTACCTATCCAACCCCATCACACTCTCAGACCACACTCCCCACCATGTTCCACCTTTCTCCACCTCCTTGGTGACTCCAAGCACTCACACAGTCATAACCCCTACCCACGCACAGATGTCCACTTCTGCCTCCATCCACTAATGTCCACAGGCACCATTGTAACAAATTGGCCAGTCAGTGCCAAGGGTCCACCCACACAGCTCCCACCGATGACGGGGAATTACCAGTGGGACCACAGCTGGCCCACAGCTCATTCAGCACAGCCAAAACCTCACATCCCAACACTACATGCTTCCTCTCCCACACACCATCCAGAAATCACCCCAACTTCTACCACCACAACAATCCCAAGCCCACCAGTACAGGCACCGGCACCCCTGTGACCCGCACCACCTCGGTCACCAGCAGCAGGCCACCCACACCCTTTACCACACACTCCCCACCTACAGGGAACACTCCCATCACTTCCACAGGTCCTACAACTGCAACATCCTTCCAGACCACCACTACCTATCCAATCCCATCACACCCTCAGACCACACTTCCCACTCAGGTTCCACCTTCATCCACCTCGGCCAGTGACTGGGCACTACACAGTCATCACTCTTACCAATGCACAGATATCCACTCTTGCCTCAATCCACTCAACGCCAACAGGCACCATTCCTCCACTGGACAACGCACATGACCACAGGGTCCACACGCACAGCTCCTACCAATGACGGGACCACCATTCAGACTTGCTGCCCAGAGCTCATTCAGGCACAGCCAAAACCTCACATCCTCCGGTACTCACCCTTCCTCCACACACCATCCTGAAACCACACCAAATTCTACCACCATTATTCCTAAGTCCACTAGTGCAGGAACCAGCACCCCTGTGTGGTCTACACCGCTTGACCTCACCACTAGTGAGCGGGCCACACCCTTCACCACACATTCACCTTCAGGAGCAGACCCAGCCTTCCACAGGTCATCCTATGACTACAATATCCTTCAAGACTACCACTACCTATCCAGCCCCATCACACCTCACACCACACTTCCCACTCAATGCCCACCTTTCTCCACCTCCTCGGTGACTCCCGGCACTCACGATGTCACTCCAACCCATGCACAGATGTCCACTTCCACCTCCATCCACTCAATACCAACAGGCACCATTCCTTCATCAACAACGGTCAAGGCAACAGGGTCGACACACACAGCCCCACCAATGACAGTGACCACCAGTGTGACCAGCCAAGCCCACAGCTCATTTAGCACAACCAAAACCTCTACACCCCTATACTCACACACTTCCTCCACACCATCCTGAAATCACCTCAATCCTACCACCACGACATTCTAATCCCACCAGTACAGGCATCTGGGAGAACCCCCTGTGGCTCATACCACTCGGCCACCAGCAACAGGCCACCACCACCCTTCACCACACATTCCCCACCCACAGGGAGCACTCCATCACTTCCACAGGTCCTATAACTGTAACATCCTTCAAGACCACCACTACCTATCCAACCCCATCACACCCTCAGACCACACTTCCCACTAATGCCCACCTTTCTCCACCCCTCCCTCAGTGACTCCAAGTACTCACACAGTCACTCTACCCACACAGAGATGTCCACTCTGCTCTAGGTCCACTCAACGCTAACAGGCACTATTCATCCACAGACAACAGTCAAGGCTACAGGGTCCACCCACACAGCCCCACCAATGACAGCAACAACCAGTAGGACCAGCCAAGCCCCGAGTTCATTCAGCACAGCCAAAACCTCTATGATCCTCCACTCACACCCTTCCTCCACACACCATCCAGAAATCACCCCAACTTCTACCACCACAAATACCCCCAAGTCCACCAGTACAGGCACCAGTACCACTGTGACCCACGCCACCTCGGCCACCAGCAGCAGGACACTCACACCCATCACCACACACTCCCCACCTACGGGAGCAGTGGCCTTCTCCTCCACAGGTCCTATGACTGCAACATCCTTCCAGACCACCACTACCTATCCAACACCATCACACCTCAGACCACACTTCCCACTCAAGTTCCACCTTCTCCACCTCTTCGTGACTCCAGGTACTCACACAGTCATCACGCTTGCACGACACACAGATGCTCACTTCTCCTCCATCCACTCAACGCCAACAGGCACCATTCCCTCCACTAACAACGGCCAGTGACACAGGGTCCACGCACAACTCCCACTCAATGACGGAACCACCATTCGGACGAGCCAAGCCCACAGCTCATTTAGCACAGCCAAAACCTCTACATCCCTCCACTCACAGGCTTCCTCCACACACCATCCTGAAACCACACCAAATTCTACTACACCATTATTCCTGTTCACTAGTGCAGGCATCAGCACCCTGTGGCCCACACCACGTTGACCACCATCAGTGAGCCACACACCCCTTCACTACACATTCCCACTCACAGTGGAGCAGACCCAGCTCTTCCACAGGTCCTATAACTGCAAATATCCTTCAAGACCACCACTACCTATCCAACCCCATCACACCCTCAGACCACACTTCCCACTCAAGTTCCACTTTCTCCACCTCCTCAGTGACTCTGGCACTCACACAGTCATCACCCCTACCCACACAGAGATGTCCACTTGCCTATATCCACTAATGCCAACAGGCAATTATCTATCCACAGACAGTCAAGGCTACAGGGTCCACCCACACAGCCCCACCAATGACAGCAACAACCAGTAGGACTAGCCAAGCCCGAGTTCATTCAGCAGCCAAAACCTCACATCCCTCCACCTACACCCTTCCTCCACACACCATCCAGAAATCACCCCAACTTCTACCAACACCACAAATACTCTAAGTCCACCGTACAGGCACTAAAGCACCACTTGTGACCTACGCCAGCCTCGCCACCAGCAGCAGGACACCACACCCATCACCACACACTCCCACCTACGGGAGCAGTACCCTCTCTTCCACAGGTCCTATGACTGCAACATCCTTCCAGACCACCACTATCTATCCAACACCATCACACCTCAGACCACTTCCCACTCACGCCCACCTTTTCCTCCACCTCCTCAGTGACTCTATACTCACAGTCATCACCCCTACCCACACAGAGATGTCCACTTCTGCCTATATCCACTCAATGCCAACAGGCACCATTCATCCACAGACAACAGTCAAGGCTACAGGGTCCACCCACACAGCCCCACCAATGACAGCAACAACCAGTAGGACTACTGGCCCCGAGTTCATTCAGCACAGCCAAAACCTCTACATCCCTCCACTACACCTTCCTCCCACACACCTCATCCAGAAATCACCCCAACTTCTACCACCACAAATACTCCTCTAAGTCCACCGGCACAGGCACCAGCACCACTGTGACCT